TGCCTGGGGTGGCAGCACTGCCCCGTGCAGCCCCTGGGGCACTCCTGGGGTCACAGAACACCTCACCTGCCCCTGTCCTGGTGCCTCTGTCCTGTGCAGCCCTCCTCGCTCGCAGACCCCCCAGGACAGCCACAGAGCTCTGGAGATAGAGAGCCACAGCAGTGGGGAGAAGAACAGCTTCCAGGTAAGGTCCTCACCTGGCTGGGGGAGCGGGCAGCTCTGAGCTTGGGGCAGGAGCAGCAGAAGCTGCTGAAGCAGAGGCTTGCACAGCTCACAGCAGCCCTGGCACATCCAGCCTGGCTCTGTTTGTTCCTCACACGTGGGGATGTTTTGGTTTGGCCTTTCCAATCTGTGGCTGAGATTTTTCAGAAGGGTTTGCCCTCTCCCTTTGGCTGCTGATGGGGGGAGCATTTCCTGCATCCCCCACCAACGCTGAAATGCACCTCCACTAATTCAGTAGGAATTTTAAGATATTTTGACAGCAGCAAGAATTCTAGAGTCGCTTAAATATGGTAGCCAAAAAGACACAATTTCCAAGCCCTGCCATAGCTTTGATTCCAGGTATTTTAAGAATTAATACCAAACCTGAATATGTGCTGCTTTGGAAAACTCCCTGTTCTGATTTCACTTTGTAGGTTTGTTTACCTTGCAAGGAAAATGAATAAACACATTTGCAACAAGAGTGGGGGAAATGATGTACATTGACCATGTTTAATCAATACAGGGCTTATTGCAGGATGACAGGCTGAAATCTGAAATCTCCAGTGTAATAAATTAGCTTTTAATATTAAAAAAATGACTCAAAAAGCATTTTGAGGAAGGAAGTATTTCAAGGAAGTGAATTTTTCTGCATCATTTCTACAACTCCTGCCAGACTCCAAGGACTCAGCTTTAGGTTAGCTAAATGTGGTACTGCAAGTTAATTATTAGTGGAAATTATTATTTTATATTGTCAGAAACACCCTTCAGCTGTTTAAAGATCATTATTTAGACTTTGAGAACAAATAACCCCAAGTTAGAAAGCCATCAGAACTCCAGCTGCCTGGACAGTTTTATTTCCATCCTGTGTGTGTGTGTGCATCCAGAGCTGTTGGAATTCTGGGAGCAGCATCTATTTTTATCCCAGGGCCTGGGCTGTGTGGAACGGAGCCGAGCTGAGCCAGGAGCTGTGCCCTGACTCAGCGTTTGTGCTGTAACTGCACCACAGCTGGGCCTGGGGGGCTTCTGCTGCGAGCACACGCCTGGCCAGGCTCACCTGCCTGCCACCATGGCCAGGGGTGGAAGGGCTGCCTGCCAGGGGGTGGGCAGGGGCTGCCAGGGACATCTGCCAGCTCTGAGCCTGGCCAGCAATCCCTGTGCCAGTGCCCATCAGGGACAGGGCAGCAATCCTGTGCCAGTGCCCATCAGGGACAGGGCAGCAATCCTGTGCCAGCATCCAGCAGGGACAGGGCAGCAATCCTGTGCNAGGAAATGCCTTTGGGTACAAGATACTTCTAACAGCCCCACACCACAAAGTTCTCTACAAGCAAATAGGATATAGGACATATTTGTTGATTTTGTGTTTTCCTGACATGAGAAATAGTGAAGACTGGGAGCTGTTCCCAGTGCATGTCCATGAACTCCTGACAGGAACGACAGAGTGACCTGAGTGCAGGGCTGGGAAGCAGAAACCTACCCTAGAACACAATTTCTGTTTTAGAAAGGAGGGTCTGCGGTTTTTCCTCTCTTTAACAACAGCTGTGTATCTGGAACTTTGCATAGAAAAATCTTCATTTTCCCTCCATCCAAAGCTCACAACTGTGCAGGACAACGAACACATGACTGCTGACCGGATTCCTTAGAAACTTGTTCCTGTTTTTGTGGATGCCCGCGCTGTGTTCCCTGCCTGTTCCCTCTCGGTGGTTCAGTTACCCTTTGCCAAAGGGACATGTAGTGGCACTTGGAGACAGCAGGACTGGCTGTGCCTCTGGGAGCTGTGACAACAACGGCTCCGGGACAAATGAAACTGCCTTCTATTTTTAGAGCTGAATTGCAACACTTTGTGGGAGTTTGTAAGCAAAACAAGTCACGTCGCAGGCAGCGCTGTAAGTGACCTGCACAAGAGCCCAGCAGCGGTTTGCATCACTCAGAGAATGGGGGTTTGTTTTTCAGCTGGCAAGCGCTCAGGAGGAGCATTCCTCTGGCAGCTTCCATGGGCTGAGCTGCACACAAATGGGATCGGGCTTTAAAAACCTGAAGTTAGGAAGTAAAGAAGAGCTGAAGGCATTTTCATGCTCTGCTTTTCTGATTCACGCTGGAAGTGGTCAGAGTTTCTTCCATGGCGAGACTGAAAGCAAACCAGCAGCGCTCTGGGCTTGGTTTAAGCCCTGGTTTGTGCCCTGTCCAGCTGAGCCAGCACAGGTTGTGAGCTCCCTGTGACACCGAGCTCGGGTCAGACAGGACCAATGCCCCTGGGCAGCCAGCACAGAACGGCACAG